CGTCCGTCCGTCCGTTCGTTCGTTCGTTCGTTCGCTCGTTCGTTCGTTCGTTTGTTCGTTCGTTCATTCTATATACCATATATTCACAAAAAACTTCGTAAGAAATTGCACAAATTTCCACAAATCAGTAAGCTCTGTAGACTTCAGTAGACCGTAGACATAAAATACTTTGCACTTAAATATATGCAATTTTGTCAGTTAACTTTTTCACGGATATGTATGTCATGCACGGATCCGTATGCACTCAGCTTTGTATTCTACTTGATCTTTTCGATCAGATTTATGCCGACTTATGCCAAAGATTATCTAATTTCTTTCACGTGGTGTGTTCGCCTTATTTCTATTATTTCCTTATGGCACGTAAAAATCTTCAATCGTGAAGTATATAATATAAAGTAAGAGGAAGTTCTTAATAAAAAAAAAAAGAAAATAGTTACCATTAAAATTGTATTTCAGTCTAATTCAAATACCAACTGCGACCCTAGAGGCATTTTTCGTGAGCGGGGGTTTCTAGAAAGGGTATACAGCGATAAGCGGCCGCATTTAAGTATAGGTAATAGGACTGCTGTACAAGTTGGAAATTATTGGATAAAAAAAAATCCGAGGACTGACAAAATTGGAAGAGCCCGAGGAATTTTTTGAATTCAATTATTTCCAAATTGGACAGACATGTAGTCCTATTGCAGATTAATTATATCATCCCAAGCTATACTAGACTGATTCCATAAGTCATAGTTTTCCCTCGTAAGAGGGCGAATGGAAACGATCCAAATTAATCTTTAATTTGGACAGGAGAGAGAATTTGAAAATAATACTGTAGTTGCTTATATGGGATTATAGAGTGATCATACAATTACTAACTTAATTGCGTGTAATCCGCCTCAAATTACTTCAGTTTATTCAAGGAATTACTTTACACCAAAATCATGCACTAAGTTTAGTTTTAATCCCGAAAAAGTGGTTAATTCTCCATATTTCAACATATTGACTCACAATACGATTTAAGCCCAATATTTAAATAAGAATGCAACTTTCCATCATTATATTCCTTTAATCTTTTCTTCTTTCTTTTCTTTTCTTTTCTTTTTTATTTTTTTCATTTCTTTTCTTTTCTTTCCTTTTTTTTGTTTTTGTTTTGTTTGTTATGTATATTTTCATTGGTTGATATATCAAGAAAGTGCCAAAAAATATTGCAAATTTTGACATCGATATTTTGAGGCTCGAAAGAACACAGGGAGCCCAGTTATTAAAAATGCATAATTTCTTAATACCTCGTTATAAATAATTTATAATAGTTTATTGAGATCAAATTGGAGACACTTATATATGGGGTAGCACATTACGTTGCCCGGAGGCAAACGAAATTCTGTCGCTTGAGTCAGACGGTCATATTCTATTTTTCAACTCAATTATCCATGACTTTTGAAATTTTGGACTTTTAAGACTGCATGTTGTCTGTCTTAAGTTTTCGCAATAAATGACCAAAGCAACGTCTTAATTCCTCGTTTTTTTATTGAATGGAAAAATAATATTCATAATAGACGTGAGACCTGTCGATTATTTTAATTTAGTTGCTCATTCTAAAAATATATATATATATACACTCGATTGCAGAAACGTTGTAGTATACATTTATACATATATCTAATTTATTCAGGATATTTAATGATATGCAAAACAGAAAAGTCGATTTATTTATTGTGTGATTCATTCAATGACTGTCAAAATATTTTTTCTTGTCTATTAGATCGTACAGATTATTATCGTACAGGTTTTAAGCGTTTAAAATGGTTTTTTTTTTTTTGCATTATGCATCTCATTAGATATTTGTACAAATGTATAGATGTATACTACAACGTTTCTGCAATCGAGTGTATACACCTACTTGCAAGAACGTTGTCATACAAGAATAGAACATTAGCAATTTAGTGAGAAAGGAATACATTAAAAGACAAAAGAAAAAGTTCAGCTTCAGTGATCTTCTTTTGTTTTTTAATATAATTCTTATCCCACTAAATCACTGTTTTATTTTCGTATGTCAACGTTCTTGCAAGTAGGTGTATATATAGTAAAATAAAAACAACAATACTGAATCAATAACAGAAGAATTATGATCTTTTTAAATATGATAATCCAGAATATGAGAGAATCTTTCATAATCAGGCTTGCAAACATCATAGGT